GCTAAAGATGTTCGACAAGGCCCTGCTCGCAAACTCCGTATCAACCCCCCAGCCTTCACCTCGTCCGAGGCCGTGGGGATCTCCAAACAAGTTTGATTGTATCGCGCGACGTACTTGCGTAATGATTCTTTCTCCCCTTGTCTCATGGCCATCAACGTCAAATACGTCTTTTCCTGTGCCACCGCACTTGCATACTGGGTCATCAGCTTTTCTGCGAAATCATCAAAGTCCTTGATCGATCCATGAGGGAGCTGCTGAAACCAGTCGAGCGCACCGCCCCTCAAGGTCGACAAGAATGCCCTGCAACTAACCGAGTCAGAATAACCATGCAACACAGCCAAATTCTCAAACGCCCTTACATGCCTCGACGGGTCAGTGGTCCCATCGAACATCAAACTCATGTCTCTGAAATTCGCAGGTAATGGTGCAGCCAATATATCCCTCGAGAACGGATGTCCTCGAGCACGTCTTTCAGGTCGACCATCCATCTTAGCCTGCATCTGCCTCACATGTTCCGCTAGCCTCTCCACCTCACGATCTCTTAAGGCTCCATCTCCTCCATAGCTAGACACGTCCTCATCCACCATCGTTGGTCCAGCAGCCACTCGCGAAAGGCTTTGAGTGACCTGCTGAACCGCTTGTGCCGCCTCGTTCGCCACCATCTGCTGCATCTCCTGCCTAGTCATCACCACCTGCTGGCCAAGACGGGGTTCCTCCACCGGCGGCGGCACCGCTCCTTGTACCGCCGCTCCTCGTTGCAGTGTCACGGCCAGATCTGGTTGCAGCAGTGTTGGGGTCGCCGCACCTTGAACTGTGCGGGTTTCCTGGGCCCGATTTGAGCCCACATCAGCCTCTGGTTGCGCCGGCGTGACTTCTACACCTTGGGGAGCAGTCGTCGGAGTCACCGGCGTACACGAGGGTCCGGAGATGCCCGGAGGTGGGCCTTCTCCAAACGGCCTCGTCATCGTCCACGCATCATCGAACTATGCTTGTAAATCTCTCCTAGGAATTCCGTCCGCCATAGCCACCGAGCTTCAGAAATCTCAGCACACCACTTTTCGAACGAAAGTCCCACAGACGGCGCCAAATGGTAACGCAAAACACTCCGACCGGCTTGAAATCGGGTCTGCTTCCTTCTTCCTAGCCGATAGAACGCCGCGTTCCTGCACAGAACTCTCACACCGGAGGGGTTTTCCGGTGAAGAGACTCCGATGCTTAAGTCAGTATATGTTTGTTCAATTTTCCAAAGTAAAGAATGGATAAATCGTCTTCCCTAAGAAAAGACCCACTCCCATATATATAGGAGCGGGATACCTGCCCTAAGAGCTGCCCGGATATTGGTGAGCTGTCCTTCCCGCGCTGCCCGTCCGTACACACATAGTGTGCGTGTTGTCAGAAATGTCAGAGGTATCAAAGGTAGTTGGTGCCACTATCACTCTGCGCCAATACATTCTCGCCACGTGCCCCCCTCTGAGCTGAGGGGAATTATTCCTTTGCGCAGGCCGTTGGGATCTCCTGACATCACCCACGCGCCCACTCGCGTTCAGGTCACGCTCTCGACTGCTTCTTACCTGCTGCGTGCTCGATCTGATCGAGCTCCCCCTTACTAGTCGATCCTTGACCAGCTCCGCTATTCTGCTCGATCTATTCTGTTTTGGTTGATCATCCTTCAACCAACGTGGTTTTCCTCCACCCTATGCTTGCCTGACCAACATGATGGACCGGTCTGCTCCTTAGTCGTATAATATCCCATATCAATTATAATATTAAGAAAATAAAAGTTATTGTTTAAAAATCCTATTTATTTTTTATTTTGGTATTTCGTGAATTACGTCTAAATTTTTTATTATGATATTAAGCAAAAATCAATTTACACGGTATATAAAAATCCTATTTATTAATTATTTTATTTTAAGCAATTAGGAAATATATCCGAACAAAAGCTGAAGCATGTAATGTTGTCAAGTAAGCTTTCGAAGCGTGCGAGGCAGCCTTTTAGGCTCAACACGTTTGAAATTATATTAAGAGGGGATGACATGAAATTATGTAATAAAGATGGTAACTAGTACAACACCCGTGTAATAACGGACGCTTGTTAAAAAATTATTCTTAAATTTTAAAATTAATGAGAAAAATTATTTTAAATTTTATTTACTTTGTTACAAAAAAATTATATTATTATATATTTTAGAATGACACTTGTTATTTGTGCTGACTTACATGTGTTATATTATAGTACTTTTTATAACTTATATCACATAACTACTTGAAATATAAATATATTAATTGATGAATAATTTTATTTTTCTAATTAATATTAAAAAAATTATTATTGTTATAAAGATAAATATAATTTTTTATTTTTATACATACAGTATGGATGTTAAATCGAATCTCATCAAGAGATGACTAATTTGATATATTATATACGTAAAACTGATTTTTTTTTTTTTGCCAGAACGATAGAGATATTATATAAAACGAACAAAATAAAGAGAGCAGCCACCAGCTGAATACAGACAGCTAATAGCTGAATACACGCAGTCAATAGGTGAAAAAATGGAAGGACAGGTCAAAAGACCGCCACGGGAAAAACTCAAGAACACTACAGAACACTACAAAATAACACAAAGACCCCAACAGGGTAATACTCGAGTGTCTGGCCCCAATAGAGAAATCAAGTTGACACTCGGGCACACAGAGGCCAACGGCCCAAACCAAAAACACAAAATACCAGCAAAAGAACAAACAACACAAACAGCTAACACAAACTAAAAAAAACATAAGAACGCGCAGCCGCGTAGCCTCCCTCAGCAAGAACATCCGGAAAATATAGCAGACATAGCCAGTTCCGAGGAGAGCTCCGAAGATCCGATACTACGCCAGCCACTGCAGAAGGCCTAGCAAGACGAAGACCCAAACCTCAGGACAAACCAAAAAACTGACCCGCACACCAACCGCAAGAAATCACAATCGCCCCCCAACCGGCTAACACCACTAGCCAATCCGAACCATCCCAAATTTGACTAACACCACTAGCCAAATCTGGAGACAGACGGCCTCCCTCAAACCCTGAGACCGAGAAAGAGGAGGAAGGGGACGAAAGACATCAGAGCTCAGTCGCGCCGACTCCGCCCAAAGGACCATACCCAGCACGAAACAACCACCCATCCACCCAGCCCGCAAGGATGAAACCCGGCCCAACATCCAAACATAGCCGAGATACCAGAGACCAGGCTCCTGCCAAAACCGAATACCCGCAATCGGGAAGACCTTTCAGCCCGGAAAGAAGAGTCGCTCCGACCATAAATACATTTACAATTCAATTGTTATAATAAGAAATGATATTAAAATGCAATTAATACATGTAGCATGACCATAAATAATCAACATATTTATGGATAATTCGGACCTAATTATTTTTGAATTATATGTAAATTAAAATCTACCCAAGCCTAATACCGATGCATGTAATTTTGCCACATAAGATCCAGAAGCATGAGCCTGCCACTAAGGATCAGTACGTTATGAATTAATATATAAGGGAGATGTATAGTGCACTAGGTAATTTTCTCTAAAAAGTTGTTCGTAAATTTTTATTTTTTCTATGATTGCTGCTAAGTTTAGCAAAAAAAAAAATGATTTTCATTAATATTTCAGTTCATTTTTCATAAATTTGGCAATGCCTAATCTATATATATATAATTACTAGCTAATGCATTTAATAAAATATTAAATAAAATTTATGTTCATTTACCTCCAAAAGGAGTTACATTTTTTTTTTATTAATTATTCACTACTCTGCTACAACCGTTACACCTTAATATATATTTTTATTATTAATTTTTTTGGAGCAGTTACTAAATTAATTCTAAATTTGGTAGCAAAATATTCAAATGTGTAACGGCTAATGTTGGAACTTAAAGTTGATTAGCACATTCAGAGCTGTAACCGCTATTTGATTGCATTGTTGGAACAAAAATATGATTGACACATTTTTTTTTTTCTAAAAATCAGAAACACTAATTTTTTATTTATGTTAATTTACTTAATATATGCCACAACTATATAAATTATTTTATTCATGTTACTAATGTAAACGTTGCATGGTTAAAATAAAATTTAAATCTCAATTTATTTTGAATGATAAAAATAACTTAAGAAAAAGTAATAATTTTTATATGATAGAAGTACATGTCTAATTAATAAATCCAAACAAAAACGTGTTTTATATTTGTGCAAATGCACAGGATCAAATAGTAGTTTACCACTAAAATCTAATTGTGATGCAAAATCATTAAATTAAGATGATATTTAAGTTACAGTTTTCAATCAACAAGTAATTAATATATCAAACTTTATATGAAATTGTTTGTTATATGAACCTTTTGATATGGTTACACTTAAACTAACATTTAGTAATCACAATCCTTTCTATTTTCTATTTTCATTTGTCTCAAACTAGTACGAATCCCGTGCGATTTACGGGTAAGATATTTTCATTAAAATTTTCATTTCTGTGAGGGGAAGACTTATCTTCCTCGTGGCTTTGTGATGATCTTGGTTTGGACATCCTAGCTTTGTAGTCAGTTGACTATGCGATGTACTAGTACTCCTATTTGAGTTCTTATAAATTTATTTGTTTGCCTTNTATTATTATTATTATTGTTTTTGTTTTTGTTTTTAATGAGCAATCACCACCAATGTATGTCTTATATTTATAGTTTACAGAATAGCGTTCAATGGCATCCACTTATGTACGTTTGACGATAAACAGAAACCTAACACAAGTTTTTCGTTCTTTTTTTTTTCCTCCCCCGTGGGACTTCACAACATAAACAGGAAACGAGAGTTGGAACAATCGAACCATTTACCTATACACATGAACATGCCTCATTGTTTTTATACTACATTCAGAGCCATCTTGCTGGAGTGATGGACCCCAAGTGTAGCAAGTTTCAGCATAGCTCATCAAAAGGGGACGGACAAGCAGATTTTTTTCAGTGACGTTTAAGCTCATCAAGGAAATTTTCAGAACTAATAGCGGACATAATGCAATCATGAAGATCAGATGGGCAATTATGCAACAAAGCCGGTGAACAAGAAATCTGGTGGAGGAGATTGAGGTTTTTCTCGAGCAATAGACGGAGCCGTTCGTTGTCGGATGGGAGGGCTTCAGCATCAAAATCCCGTCTTTCTTCGGTTGACAGAGGCAACGGTGTCGAATCGTGGTGGCAGCACTCAACGGCGGCCCACGCCACGTCACCCACCTCCATTACCGTCTTCGCCACCTCGAGCGACAAATGACCCGCCATTTTCCTTCGATTCTGGCTTTGGACGATGGCGATTCTTTTGGATGTATAGATTTCTTTGTTTTGTTGTATGTGGGGTGCTAATTTAGGCTTATTAAGTGCTTGTGATTTCCTGTGTGTAGATTTTTGAAGGTTATCTTGACAGCCTTTAAGGGTAATCTTGCTTTGCTAGTTTGTGATGTCGGTAAATTCTGTTGTCATATTCCAATTTATGATATTGAGATATAGTTTTGAAATTTTGTATAGTAATATCATGCATTGTGACCAAGTTGGTACCTTTCTTGTTGATACCGCCACTCTGCTTGTGATGATATAATTCCAATTTCTTTCTTAAGTTCTATTGATATGTAATCTCTGCATCCAAATTAACTTAATTTAAAGCATACTTGTCATAAGATGTTCGTGCAGTAGCATTTGATTCTTGTACCGACTTTTACCCAAAAATATGGATTACTTTAATTTTGGTCAACATTTACTAGTGTGTGGTTCGTGCGATGCACGGGAAAACAATATCACGATTCTATTATAAGTAACATTAATAATGATTTACCCATTGTTTTAAAATTAAATTGGGTTAGATACAGTCCGACTGGATGGACCGAGAACTGTTTATAACCAGTCTAGTTCGCTTGAATAAAATATTTATTGTCTAATCCGTCAACACCAGTCTGTTGGACTGGTAGGAACGATATGATTTCCTAAATAAATTTTGTTACATTTAAAATTATTTTAAATAAAATTACATATATAAATAAAATAGAGATTTATAAATTGTTTATCAATTAGTTTAAACATTTGAATTTATATACGGAAATGAAATTTTGGTCAATAAATTAGTTTATATACGGAAATGAAATTTGTATACGAAAGTGAATTCAGTAATTAGTTTAAACAATTTGAAATAAAATTACATACGCAAATGATATACTTTAATTTTGGTCAATGTTTGTTAAATTAGTATCAGTCCTAGAGTTAGACAATACTCATTAAATGGTAATTTAGTACTCAATATCGATATCGGGTCTTTAGTACCAACTCCAACCAACATAGAAAATTACTGAATTTCAGTCTTAAATGATGTTTATATTACTCAAAATTATTCACACATTAGTTTCTATGAATCCTCATACATGACTACTCCAAATTCTAACTATATGTTTTAAATTCCACTATTTTTCATCCAAATCACGCGTGAACAATCCACGTGAAAAGGTAGACATGAAAGATTAAAAAAATCACTATTCGTAAAATAGTACATGTTTTAGCTAAAATAGTACCACATTGTCTTCTACGTGGTACCTCTTTTTGTTCGATCAATACTTACTTTTGTGAAGGAAAAAAAACGATTTTGTAAAACATTACCAGTTTTACAACAAATAATACCACAATTTATCCTATTCAGTACAAGTTATTGATCAATTAGTACTTACTTTGTAGAAAGAACAAAAAATTGATTACTTCAAAAAATGGATTCCTTCAAATTCTACCTATATGTTTTAAATCCCACTATTTTTTAACCAAATCACGCGTGAACGGTTTGTTTAGTATATTAATTAATAATTCTACATATATTAATTAAAATTTTTTAATCAACTCCGACGAACATAAAAGAAAAAAACGAATCTTGTAAAATGGTACCAGTTTTTAAACAAATAGTAGCACTCTTTCTTCTATGTAGTATCGATTATTGATGATTTGGTACCTACTTTGTAAAAAGAACAAAAAATGGATTACTTCCAATTTGATCAACATTTCCAATATTAGTACCAGACCTAGAGTAAAATAATACTGCAATTATGGTGTTATAGTACCAGATATCGGGTCTTCGGTACCAACTCCGACGAACGTAAAAAGAAAAAAAGAAAAAAAAAATAATTTTTTTCAAATAGTGTCTGTTTTGACGCAAATAATACTACTTTTTTTCTGCGAAGTACCAGTTATTAATCAATTAGTACCAAATTTTAGTCAATGAAAATGGATTATTCAATTGTGGTCAACATTTGCAATAATTGGTACCAGACCTAGAGTAAGATAGTACCACCTTTCGCTGTTTTAGTACCACATATTGGGTCTTTAGTACCACTCGTAATGAATACATAAAAATACCGAATTTTTCGGTCTCAAATGATGTTTATATGACCAATAATCACTCTCACATTATTTTTTATGAGATTTAAAATGTTTTATATTGAGTTTAATCGTAAAATGGTCATGAACTCGATACACTAATGAGAAATCACTACTAATACACTTCATTTCATTGAATGACACACTTCATCTCATAGAATTATCATACATGACTACTCCAAGTTCTACCTAAATGTTTTAACTTCCACTATATTTTATCCAAATCACGCGTGAACGGTCCACGTATCATGGTAGACATAAAGGATTAGAGAAATCATGATTCTTAAAATAGTACGTACCTGTTTTAACCAAAATAGTACTGCATCTTCTTCTACGTGGTACCCGTTTTGATCGATTAGTACCAACTTTTGGTCAACAAAAATGGATTATTCAATTGTGGTCAACATTTGCAATAATTGGTACTAAACCTAGAGTAAGATAGTACCAACATTGGGTGTTTTAGTACCAGATATCGGGTCTTTAGTACCAACTCCGACGAACATAATAAAACACCAAAGTTCGGTCTTAAATGATGTTTGTATGACCAATAATCACTCTCACATTATTTTCTATGAAATTTGTAATGTGTTTAACTAAGTTTAATCGCAAATTGGTCACAAACTCAACATACACATGAGAAAACACTACTAATACACTTCATCTCATTAAAATGGTACCAGTTTTGGGAAAAATAGTACCGCTTCTTCTTCAACGTAGTACCTATTTTTAATCAATTAGTACCAAATTTTGGTCAACGAAAATGGATTATTCAATTGTGGTCAACATTTGCAATAACTGGCACCAGACCTAGAGTAAGATAGTACCAGCTTTCGGTGTTCTAGTACCAGATATTGGGTCTATAGTACCACTTGTAACGAACACATAAAAACAAAAAATTTCGGTCTCAAAAGATGTTTATATGACCCATAATCACTCTCACATTAGTTTATATGAGATTTAAAATATTTTAAATTGAGTTTAATCGTAAAATGGTCATGAACTCGACACACTAATGAGAAATCACTACGAATACACTTCATTTCATTGAATGACATACTTCATCTCATAGAATCATCATACATGACTACTCCAAATTCTACCTAAATGTTTTAACTTCCACTATTTTTTATCCAAATCACGCGTGAACGATGCACGTGTTATGGTAGACATGAAGGATTAGAAAAATCATGATTCTTAAAATAGTACCTGTTTTAGCCAAAATAGTACCACATTTTCTTCTACGGGGTATCGGTTTGTGATCGATTAGTACCTAATTTTGTGAAGGAAAATGGATTGTTTCAATGTTGGTCAACTGTAACGCCCCGTTTTATTTTTAGAGAATTACCGAATTTATTTATAAAAATAAAAAGTTTATTTTTCACGAAATCCCAATTTAAAACTTTAACATCAACGGGCGCTACTTAAACAACTAAAAAAATTAAACATTTACACAGATAAAATATAACAGTTCAAAATAAAATCTCAATTATTCATAAATCTCAAAACCAGTCATGCATAATTAAATATTCCAACATGTTCGAAATAAATAAAGCGGAAGCATAAAATATTCAAAGTTAAACAAATGGTCTATCAAGATATTAGAAAGAAAAGAGGAAGCAAGTAACACACAATCCGACGACCACCACTCGATCGTCTCTCGCCGCCGCCGCCAACCATGCTCAACCTAAAATGATAGGAAGATGAAGAAGAGGACAGAAAAGTAAATGGGGATGAGTACAACCATCATACTCACCATTACCGCACAGTATATTTCGCATAAAGATCCATAACTATAAATAATGTATGCATAGAATCCAGATCTAACTCTCTATTAGGCCCTATCGCAAACCTCCTATGTACATACAACAAACCTCCCGACCAGACATCGGCAAGGATATAACTGGAAGCACTCCCACCCCGGATGCAACGGGCATATGATCTTATCCAAGAGACAGTGAAGTTGAATAACCCCTCCGCTCTACACGGATTCGGGCGTCCACCTCCCGGATGCAACGGGCAAGTGACTTCCACTTATTATTCATTCGTCAAAGGCACTACCGTCGGGACACTTAGACTAGGGTTCTCATGCATAAAAAAGCTATCGTGACAAACATTTATACGAAATAACAATTGCGATAAATGTAGATTCAACATAAATGAACCCACCTGATAGCGGTCGGAGTTTAACAATAAATGAGGGTAGGCGGCGAGGTTGACTCGTCAAACACCTACATTTATTAAAATAGCCTTATCAAGGACTATTCTAAAATCACTAAGTCTAACTAAGTTCACGCAATCATTTAAGCACGCATTAAACAAAGGAAAACACATTTTCGAAAATATCACATAAGTTTTGAAAAGTTGACCCGGCAGCGTTTTTTAAAATCGACATAAATCTCAGCATATAACTCATATGAACATGAATTAAGTTGCATTGGAATCCTAAGATATGAAACTACAACTCTTATGAAGACACCAAAAATAAATAAGGTCATTTAACAGGTGATAAATCAACAAATATTAAAATTTGGGTCACAGTCTAAATCTGGAAATTTAAAACTTGACCAGACTTCAGTATTTATTGTATAACTGGAGCTACAAGAATGATTTTGATGAAATTAAAAAACCACATGATAGGAAACTCAAATGTCTACAACTTTTCTGAAGATCAGATTGGCAAATAATCACATATTCAATGACTGTAAACACAAAATACTTGGTTCAGCAAACTGTCAAAATTTAATATATGATATGAACAGCCCTTCAGTCTTAATCAATTATCTAGAGCTACAGACTTCCAAATGATATGATTCAAGTATCAAATTAAACCTTACGTATGCCTCTACAAATTTTATTTAGAACATAGAATCATATGA